TACTGGACATTATAAGCAGTGCTAAACGGTATATTATTATGTTGTTATCTCTTATCCTTGACCATCGTCAATAGACATCAATCGTATCACAAAAGCTGATGAAGTAGGTCATGTAAAATCTCGTATACTGATCATATCAGTATCCCCAGATTCTCCTTATCAGTACATATCTATAATGAACTGCATTTTTTCTGCACAAAAGTTGGTTAGTCTTTTTATCTCAAGTATCATGTTTTTATTATCAAATTTGAGTATGCCAAATGAAAATGATAAACCTTTCCATATTTCATTTGGAGACACTAATTGTTTACTATCATTGACTTTCTTTGAAATGATTAGTGCATTCCCATTGATGTTTGTAAAGTCTACGGAGGAGATACTCCGGTATTCTTGCAACAAGCATCGCATATAACTGGTGGAAAATACTTGAAGCTTGACAAGGCCCAAGGATTATTACAATTCTTAATGGTATGTTCAATTTAATTAAACTGGTAATAAATACAATCTATGATTCAATGTTCATATGTAATATATTATTATTAAATTTAGATTGCATTTCTACCTGATCGATACAACAAAAAATACCTTTGTTTGCCAGGGGAGGAAAAAGTGGATTTTGGGGCAGCTTGTTTCTGTCACAAAAAGATTATTGATGTAGGATATGTATGCTCAGTTTGTTTGTCAAGTATCCTTAATTTGACTTTATTTCGGTTGAGTGTGTACAAAAAAAGATATTTTTCCTTGACCATTTTGTATTGTATGAATTTTAAAGTATTCTGTAAACCGTTAGAAGAATGTTCTACGTGCAGGTATTTTTTTTTTTTAAGTTTATTTACTTGCAAATTTTTCGTTTAAGATATTTAGGACTATTTCAACTCTTTTCAAGGACAAAATTGATGTTGGCGTCAGCCAAACAAAATGGGCAGAAAAGTGGGGTCATCTAAAACCAGGTGCGATTGCATAACTTGGTGATCAGTGACCGAACTGTCCGATTTGATCTATTCAACCAATCAAAAGAATTATGATAACAGTAATAAACTCTTAATATTTACGTAGTTAATAGTAGTATTAGATCTGAATAACATATTTCTTTAATCTGGTTTGTGCCTGGTTTATATTATGCATTTTATTAGTTTATGAAATTTGATTAATAAACCTACAATTATAATTAGTTTTAAAAAAGTGTTGAATTTCACGTTCTTCTGGCTAGGAGGAAATGGAACCGTTAGAAGTTCAAATAGTAATGTTTTTCATTTAAACAAATTTAGTCGTCGGTTATGCTTTGGGCAATAATTCAAGCCCAAATTATTTTAAATCAGACGAGTCAATATTATCGTTGCAGAAGAGTCACGTGATCGAGGCCCATTAGGGCAAAAGAATATCGCATTTGCAATCACTATCCTATCTAGGAATTAAATTGCAAGGATCATTAAATGTCTATTTCACTGTCCAAACAAATGTTATTTCGCTATCCATATCCCTCAAAACATCAAGGAAAGATAGTTGATAAAAAAATTTTTACTGTCCTTTTATTTCGAAATTAATTTTTTATTAACAAAAGACCAGCTTTATGAATGTGTAAAGACCTACACTAATATATTAATTTACAAATAATTTTAATTGTTTATATATCAAAGATAGAAATTGTTCAAATTTTAAAATAAATATTAAGAATTATTTGATAGTCTTTCAAATAAATATATGATGAAAAGGATTTGTAATAGGGATGTTTAATAATAATAGAGTTCCAATCCAATCCATTAACCGTTTATCCGTATATCCGTAATCCGTTATCCAAGCATCCGATCTGAATTTATCCGGATATCCGTTTACTATTGATATCCGGATAATCCGACAAATATTCAAATTATTCGGATATCAATAGTAAACGGATATCCGGATAAATTCAGATATGGATAAATGGATAACGGATTTATCCGGATTGGAAC